AAAGCCGTGCCTCAGCGGGTGGAACTGGGGCCTGTGCCCCAAGTGCCTGGCAAGGAAAACAGCAGGTCAGAGCTCAAATCCTACTGCAGAGCAGCCACACAGCATCAGCTCATCAGAACAGCATGCAAGAACACAGTCTCTGCCTAAGAAATCCAAACTCAAAGCATTTCAATCACATAAATGACTCCAGAGCAGTGTCTTGAGCCCTCTCACACTTGTTGCAAGCACAGCCATGCAGACTCACCCCAGTGCTCACTTATATTCCATTTTATTTACTCTCCAATCACTGTTTTCCATTTTTTCCTTCCACTGGTGTCTTCTCCCATGCTGTCTGATGATCAGCACTGATGGACTACACTGCCCCAAACCACTGCAGAGATCACATAATGTTTCACTTAAGGATTCTGATCTATGACAAGTCCCTCTTATCCCACTGAGCTGTAAAAACACAAGGCAGAGCTCATGAAATGCACCATTCCATCCTCATCCCCTTTATGGAGCGTTCACGCTGCCAAAATGGTACAAAGAGACCTGAATGGAAATGAAATGAGGTTTTTGTGTGCACATGTGGACATAAAACACATTTAGCTACTCCTGATGACAGCTCCTCTCTACTGTGCAGCTTGAAAATCCTCCATCCTTAACTTCCAGATGAGGCTCCTCTCTAATCTCCAGGTTTTGTGCTGCAAATTCTGCATTTCCTGCATTTATAGCACCTTGAAGACAGAGAATCCTCATGCTCTCTGTCTCTAAAGGGGATTTTGGTAGCTCAGTGTTTATTTAACCATTCCATCTTCCCCTCACAAGCCTGGATCTGCCCCTGTCCACTTTGTGCATCCCCCTCTGCACCTTCTGAGCATAAAGGGCATAAAATGCATAAAATGCATAAAATGTATTCCCTTGGAGTTACTCTGAGCTGTTCCAAATGAGTTATTACAGAAAGAATCCTCATTTCAGCTCTGGTTACAGCTTGCTGATGTAACTGCCACTGCAGGTCTGGCCTGCAGGATTCCACCCTTTCCCTTTTGTAGATGTGGGAACACAAAGTTGTTCCTGGCTGTTCCTACAACAGGGCAGATGGAAAAACACCTTATCCTACAAAAGCCCTAAAAGAACTTACAGGGACATTAAACAGTGACTGAGATCCGTCTCTGCATCTTACAGCACAAAAAAACCTGAGATTTAATGAAACACAACAAATTCCACACTGGTCATGGAAAATACTTGACTTGCAAACTTATAATTAAACCATGGAATTTACTGTCACAGCACACACTGAAGAGATTTTAGAAGGGATGATGGAACAATAAGAAAATTATCTGCTGGAAAACCTCAGTGAGGCCAGGAGGAGACTCCAGTTTTTACCCAGCATTTCTTCACACCTTTCCAGCCCTGACCAGAAGTTTCTGGATGCACAATAATGCCCTGCACATTCCTACTTAGTCCTATTCCTGCTAACAGCTGCAGGTCTTTCCAGATTTGCCTTTTTTTCCCAAGGAACTGGCACCAATCTGCATTTGCCTTGTTTATTCCTTTTCCCTGAGTGTATGAATTTCCATTTGTTAGCACTGAACTGCAGCTGATTGCACCCAGCCCACTGAGCTGATCCCTCAGGGCCATTCTCCTGCCTGGATTTGTGCTGATAAATAATTCACTGTCTTAGGGTGCTTTGCTTTCCTCCCAGTTCCAGCAGGTGAATCCAACCACAATTCAAGCTCAGCCTTCTCTAACTTATTAATGAAACTGATAAAGAAATTCCTGTTACTTTCCACAGGAACTCAGTTCATTAATAAAGTCCCAAAATATAGCAAGAGTCAAAGATAAAAACCACGTAGGTGCTCAAGGCAAATTCCAGCAGAATATCCTGGTGTTTTCTGATTAAATAAGTGGTGTGAGGTGTGGATAAAAGCCCAGAGTTGAGGAGTTTATAAATACAAATACACACATAAAACCTCCTCGACTCTTTGTATGAAGACACATGTAAGTATTTGTAATGGGAACATTCAGGAATTGATCCCAGCAGGGGGAAGATCCACCACACTTTCCAAACTTGGACATTTGAGCTTCAAAACAGTTTTTTTTCCCCCTGTAATTCTGTTTTTATTGCTGCTCCTTCCCAACGCACACTGAGTGAAATCTCAAAGCAAGACACCTCCAAATAAATTTACCATTTGCCAATGATCTTATTGGTGTAACCAGCTTTCTTCAGGAGCTCTGGAAGCAGTAATTCAGAATCTGGGATTCCTCCTACTATGTCCTGTGGTGTGTATGCTGTGGAAAACAAATTAAAAACACCTTTCTGACTCTCCAAAATATTGCAGCACACAGCTCATGTACTGGATCAGAAACAGACTCATTTGGAGTCCCAGCAATGCCATTCCTTGGAAGTTCTCCCATGGGATGGAGAGAATAAATTGATGCAGGGAGACCAAAGGGAGATTTCCACCCACTTGTGCATGAGGGTAAATGATAAAGGGAGCTGGCACCCCAGAGTGGAGGTGAGACCTCTGAAAGGGAGATGTCACAGAAAATCAGGTGCTTTAGGGGTGGTCTTTATGCTGTAAATTTGCTTTGTGTTTTCTAAAATGAAGGCAGCCTTCTTCTAACTCAAGCAACAAAGGGGCTCAAACTGCAAGAGCTGCTCTGATCTATTATAGATTGGATTTGATGGTCCCAAAGGTCTTTTCCAACCTAATTCATTCTGTGGTTCTGAATGAAATGAAGAAGTGTCTCAGCCCCTGAGGCTCCCAGGGGTGACTGTGCTCAGGGAACCAACCCCAGGCTGCTGCTCCTGCCCAGCCATGTCCCAGCACGTGGCATTTGTCACCCTGGCACCCAAATCAACCCAGGGACCTTCCTTGGAGGCACCAGAGGCACCAGGGATGGAAACCTGCTCTGAAACTGGGTGGAAATGTGCCTGCTGAATAATCTGTGAGCAGCCAGCTCTCCCCTGTGGGTTTTACACCTCCACCTGATTGTCCCTCACCAGACCCCAGTTACCCCTGCCCAGAGGAAACATTTCTCAGAAATATCTCAGAAATATTTCTCAGAAATATCTCAGAAATATTTCTCAGAAATATCTCAGAAATATTTCTCAGAAATATCTCAGAAATATCTCAGCAGAAACAAATGGATCAAGCAGCCTGGTTTATCCTCTTCATTTGATGAGGAGGAAGCAATAAAATTCACACTTATTAAAGCACTTAACAGTTTGGTGGCACTCTGGAACATCCATGGGGATGTTTGTCCAAAGAGAAATTTGGAAACAAGGCCCAGAGGGGAATCAGGAGAGGAAGGGAGGTGAGGGATGAGGCTCCTACCGTTCCTGGCGTGTCCATTGGTGGTGTAAAAGCCGTTCCTGACCGGGAGCCGGCCCGTCAGCAGGGCTGCCCTTGCTGCAAACAACACAAACACTTCTTTACAGCCATCCTCTGCTAAATATTCAGGTATTAAAACCTGAATATAGGTATTTAGATTGCTATATAATATTATTGCAGGAGGATGAGGGCCGCACATCTGACTGGAGTCACAGCCACTCACTAAATCACTCACACTCTCCCATGAGCCATGGGGAGAATCAGTTCTGAGGCATCATTTGAGTAATTCCAGCTGAAATTTGGCCCCTTTATTAAATTAGCCACACTGAAGAGTCATTCCTTTGAATAAGCAATGGAGGAACCCTTACAGCTCAGTTATATATATATTTATTATGTATTTAAGAGGAAATCCTAGCACAAACTGATTAGATGCTCAAGGCTAAGCTTTCGAGCTTGACTGAACAAAAATCATGAAATACAAAGAAAGAGCTGTCCAGCTTTGACAATAAAAGTCAAGTCCTGACTGCAGGGAATATTTAAACAGATGTTTAACTTCAAGCCTATGCAGTGCCACCACTGGCTTAGCAGGATTTCAGCATATTTTAAATGCCTTTTCTGAGCAAGGACATCATCAACACACTGGCAAGTGAGAGCCCAAATATAAAGCCCCTGTTCTTCATTTTTGCTTCAGTTCTTGGCAGCTAATCAGGTTTGAGAGGAAAAAAGAAAGCAAAAAAAAAAAGAAACCACCTCACAGAAAAAACAACAAGGAGAAAAATATCTTCCTCTCCCAGACCCAAACGTTCCTTTTATCTCCTGTCCCTGTCCCAGGAGTCTTGTAAGACACAGGGGCAAAAGCAGGACACAAACTGCTGCCTTTCCTTGCATGAAAGGCTCACCAGAGCCAACAGAATCAGACCAAATATGTCCAGCAACAGATCAGATCCTGCTTTGTTTAACCCAAAATGAGAAAGATGAAAAAAAACGCAATGACTGGGGCGGGAGTACTGAATTGGAATGGTACAAAAATCCTGATCGCTGAAACAGTGCTTTGTATGAACTGAAAACTGTCGGGTTTCCAATCCAAACAGAAATAAGAAGGGAGCAAAATGCAAGATCAAAGCAGCAAATGTGATCTGTGGCCTGAGGGCAGGACTGGCTTGGTTGTCAGCCCATGTCAGAGGCTGGCACACACCCCAAACTCCTCAGAGGGAGGAGGTGTTCCTCATGCTGACACGGTTCCCAGTGCACTGTACTTACAGGGAGAGCAGAGGGGGCTGGCAGTGTAGAAATCCAGGAACAGCATCCCTTCTGCAGCCATCTGGTCCAGGTTAGGGGTTTCCTTGGAAGGCTCTCCAAAAGCTCCCAAATCCCCCCAGCCCATCTGGAAAAGGAACACACCAGAAGATGTCAAAGTCCCTTTCCACAACCTCATTTTTGGGCCCACATAACACTTTCATTGTACCCTTTAATTGATAAATGTTTACAGAGCTCATCTCCCTACTCAGCACCTCACAAATGTGACACAAATGTGACACAAATGATCTCTGCCAGCCCTGCGGAGCAGGGAACTCTCACACTTTCCCCTGCTGGGTGGGAAACTGAGCACACACAGGATTAAATGATTTATTCACAGGGATTAAAGCACTTGCAAGGAGCCCAGTGCCTTCACTGTTACTCAGAGGCCTGAGGCACAGCCAGAGCAAGGAGGAAGAGGAAGTTACACGTGGTTTACTCGGGGCTGTGCAGCTGCACGTCTGAGCCCTCAGTGCCTGCCCTGCTGTCTGTGCTGGGGCCCAGGATTCCACCTCAGCCTCTGCAGGGCTGCAAACACAAGGACAAGGCCTGAACTCCAAAGCAGCAGAGCAGGAAAAGCCAGGCAGTGTTTGCAAAGCCAGAGGAAGCTGCCAGAGGCACCACCAGCCCCTGTGCTTATCTGCAGGACTGTGCCTTCACCCTGCTCTTCCTCCTGATCCTGAGGGGTCACACAGCAGGAGAACCCCAACATTCCCATCAGGGCTCTGTGCTCACTGCTGGAAAACTGGGAAAAGCTCAGCTCCAGGCAGAAGGTTCTGGAAGGGAGCAGCTCAATGGGCACCACAGGTGCTTTGGGAAAGGCAAGGTGTGTGTCAGGTGGGCCTTGGATGCATCCAGATCCTCAGGGAACCACCTGATGCCATCAGATAAGGAAATCACTGCAGAGATGGTGTCTGAGTTAAGGAGCATCCCTGGCATGAGGGATTAAAATGGATCCAATGGATTCACCCCCAAGTTCTTGATTTTTCTGCATCATCAAGGAAGAAAGACAAAAAGAATCTCACGTGGCTCTAATTCCAGAGTCACAGAGGGTGAAGGGGAAAAAAGCAGGGAGAGGTGTTTTTAACGAACATATTAAATAAATCAATATTAATAAATCAATAAAGCTGCAGACAGGAGCCTCGTGCTGCACCATCACCTCCGGGGTGGGAGAACCCCTGTCCCAGAGAGCTTTCCTCTGGAAAATTACAAATACCAGCTTGGGAGGGGGAAATATTCCTGAATGGAAAACGGAGATCACTGAGCTTGGGAAACACTCTGAGTCCCAGCTGTGCCCAGTCCCCACCCTGTCCCCAGCCCAGAGCACTCAGTGCCACCTCCAGTCCTTCCCTGGGCACCTCCAGGGCTGGGGACTCCAGACCTGCCTGGGCAGCCCCTGCCAGAGGCTCAGCTGGCTGGAAATGCAGGGGATTCTCCAGCTCAGGAATGTGGGGACACCATGGAACAATGGGCATGATAAACTGGCAAAAAGGGAAGGTTTGCCCACGCTCGTGAGCTCCTTGAGCAGCTTCAAACAGCGACAAACACATTTCCACCACAAACACACCTGGAAGGGGACAGGAAATTATCAGGAGAGAAGCAAACTGGGTAGATAGCAGCGACCTGAATGTGTTGGAAATTAATATAATTCCTTATCCATGTGGCCAAGGGTGCAAAATTGAAAATATTTAAGTCAGAAATAAATCTGTGATAATTCCTGCTCTTTAATAATTTACTGTCATTTTCCTCTTCCCAGTTCAGAGAGCAATAATGAGCAGAATTACTTTTCTTGTTTAGTTTTTCAGGAGACCACCAAGCCCCTCCTTGTGACCAACAATCACCAGGGTAGGAAGGGAGCTCTGGCAGGGACACCTGGGGCAGGTGACACAGGGACACATCCAGGTGGCTTTGGGATGGCTCCTGACAGGAGACCGCACATCCCTGGGCAGCTGTGCCAGGGCTGTGCCACCCTCCATGGGCACAGGCTCTCCTCGCGTTCAGAGGGAACCTCTCGTG